TTTGTTTTTGTGGTTCAGGGAGTGCTCAATCTTTTTTTTTTTTTTTTTTTTTTTTGGGGTGGGGGGAGAGGTTTTTGCTATAGGGCGCGTATGCTTGCCAGACAGACAGAAAGAGACAGAGAGATAGAAAGCGAGAAATCACCCCCCAGGGGGGATGGCCACGCTGCAATCCCTTCTCCTCCATTCTCAGGATCTTGGGCACACACGCACACGCACCTGGCGTGAGTTTCAAACCACCGGGTCCAGGACGCGAACTGCGGTCGACTACGTGGGGGTCCAGCGACATAGCCATTATGCTAACTGCTGGTCCCTGACCAATTAGTTTTGAAATAATCTCATTCTAAGTAACTGGCCAAGTGGCATTTTTGAATTAGTTATAAATTTTCCTTAACCATGTGACCTGAGCCATGTTTACTGGAGTTTATTGAAGATGTGCGAATTACCATACCTAAGACTGGGAATGGAAATTTTGGGATAGTGCTTCCAAATTAAATTTGTTTCAAAGTCTTATTGGCTGTAGCGTATAACCACAGGAATCAATGTGGGTAGTGGCTATTTTCCATTGCATCTTCCTATGAGAACTGTGCTTCAACTACCAAAGGCTATTCTAGAGAAGTGCGACTCCAAATTTAATATGCCTTTGAGTCACCTGGAGGTCTTCTTAAACTAAGTTTTCAGATTCAGTGGATGGGGCCTGGAATTCTGCCTTTCTCATGAGCTCCCTGCTGATGCCATTGTTGCGTTCAGTGGACCACACTTGGAGTGGAGTGTTCTAGAATGGTAGTTCTCAAAGCATTGTGTACAGGCCAGAAGCACCAGGAACCTGTTACAAATGCAAATTCTTGGGCTCCACTCCAGACCCTACTGGATTGGACTCGGAAACTCTGGGGGTGGAGCCCAGTGGCTGGGTTTAACAAGCCCTCCAGGTGGTTCTGATGTATGCTCAGGTTTGGGAACCATCATTCTGGAGTGTGGATTTCAGCCCATCTTTGTGTAAGGTATTCTAATCAGCTGTTGAACAGTTTCTCTTAGGTCCAGCCTCAAATCCTCCTTTTGCATAATTAGTCCAGTTTTCCCAGGCTTTCTTAAAGTTATCTTTTGAAGGTACTAATCCTTAAAATTGAGGCCTAATTTAGGTCTGGGAGGAATCCTCAGCACTGTTCTGATTCCTTTTCCCTGTATTCTGGGCTCCTCTATGAACCTTGTCCATTTCCAAGTTTTCAAAGCATCTGGAGGGAAACTTGAGCGTGAAAGTGTGACAACAAATGGGTCACATTTTATCAATGTTCACCACTTCTGTGTCAGAGGATTGGACCATTCCATTTACTTCACTTTGGAGTTTAAAGATATCTTTAAAATACCTTACAGCTTCCTCTGATACTAGCATTATTTAAAAAAATTTTTTTTTTCAAAAGATGGAGCAGTGGAAAAGAATAATTAAACTCTGCAAGAGCGTTTCGTCTGTTTTATTGGATTTGAAACTAAATAGAGGCCTGGGGAGGTTGTTCTTGGGGCAATTAATGCACAGGAGCCAGCAATTGTTGTGGATTGCTGTGGAAGAGAAAACTGAATGGGCACCAGGGCATAGAGAGTTTTTATAGAGACCAAGGGAAATCGAATTTCAAAATAATCCTCGCTGCACTGAACTTTTCTAACTGGATTACATTCATAAAGTTTGATTATGGGGAATGAGAGTGTAAATTCCTATCTGTTTCAGGCTTCTGGTGAATGGGGACCTCCCAGTGACTGTGTGACTGAATTAGAGTAGGCAACTGAAGCGCCAATGCCGTATATCTCTACTGCCTGAATACCACCTGGTCAAGGGTATGAGCTAAACCCATGAGGATATTACTGTGCCTTAGCTCAGAGCAGCCAACTCGATTTTTCCATTTGGGTAGCTGGGGCCAACATTTCCTACCTGTGTGTCTTGCTATTGATGTGAGAAGGCTCCTTTACTCCCCAGTCCCTGACAGTACCTCGTTTCCAGGACAGGCACCTGCCAATGAGGGGAAACTGATACTGAGAGCCTTGAGTCTGGTGTTGAATTTTTCAGGTTCCCTACCCTGGCCTTTCCAGCGCCATGTATATTAGCTCAGTGGTCTTTGCAAATGCACACAGAAATCCTCAAAGAGAATTCCAGTTATTTATTTATTTATTTTAGTAAAGAGCTTTCAAGTGCAGCAAAATGGCATATCTCCAGTTAATTGTAAAAATAAGGCCTAGACAAATGCGTAACGACAAACAACTACTAGGAAACTCACAGTGGGGAATAGCATGGTCAAATGTTCACTCCAAAGGACTAAAGATGTATGAATTTGGACAGACTGAACAACCTGCTGATTTTGACATAAATAAATGACCCAAGACATATGGTGACAAAAGCTCTATCTAAGAAATTGGGCTACAGCCGTAGATTGCTTCACCACTCCTTTTCTTCCAACTCATCAACTTGTAACATGAGAGACTTTCACAGTGATGTGCAGGATGTGAGGAAGGAAGGTGAAGATGGCCTTTGCACCCAAGGAGAGCGTGTGCTACCTTGTTCAGGGTTGAGGGGTTGAGTCCACTGAATTACATTATTGCCTGCCAAGTTCTCCATCTTGAAGAAATATTTTGACAGAGTAAGAATATCTCAAGAATCCTAGAGAATTTAGAGTTAAGCTCCTATTATTTAGGGGTTGACTTCACTTTGGAAAACACCCAGGAGCTGTCTTTTCTTCATTCTAACAAAAATATATCTTCTTCCTACTTCCCCAATCTCCAATCACTTTTTGGACCTTTTCACAGATCATTAGGCAATTTAAGTGAATGATGGTGGTGGTGGTGGTGGGCAATGACATAATAAAAAGTAAGTGAAATTAAAATGCATGAAATTGACCCATTAATTCTGGATCTGGAATAGGCTTGGGTAGGAAGAAATTGAAACTCTTGTTTAAATATGTTACTTTGGTTGCTGATGATCATTGATCAATGCATTCATTATTTGCATTATTTACCTTGAATAGTGTAATGATTTATTTTTTAGTTTTTGCTATGGGGATGTGTGCTTACGAGAGAGAGAGAGAGAGAGAGAGAGAGAGAGAGTAAGAAGTCACTTCCTAGGGAGGATGACCATGCAGCAATCCCTTCTCCTTTCTTCTCCTGTTAGGATTTTGGACACACACGCACACGTGCCCAGTATGTTTTTCAAGCTGCCAGATCCAAGACTCGAACCATGCAGTCAAATCTGTGGGATCCAGCCACCTTAACCATTTTGCCCCTGTATGGCTCTGATTTAGTTTTTTTTTGTACTTATAAATATTTTTAAAATATTAAGAATATGCTTTTGGTTCTCATTTAGGTTGATAATGAAGTGGTTTCAGAGGATCAGAATGGGTGATATCTGGGCTGTTTGTCCCTTATGCCTAGCCAAATGGATCATTGTTCCCTTTATACATACTCCCCAACACATAATGTATCAAGATAGTAAAAATGTACCTGTCCCGCCGTGTCATACAGTCCGAGCAAGTGCTGCTTGCCGCCCACTGTCACAGTAACTAGGGGAGAAGAGAAGAAGAGAGTCTGTAACACAAGCTTCAGCCAGGAACCTTTGCATTTTTCTATGCCAGCATCTCCCTAGGCAGCAAGGACAAGCATATGCCTCACCGTGTATATTCTAAACCAGGTTGACAGTGTGAGTTCCAAATGAAAGGCAACCTTGGGTTGCAGTGACAGCAGATGGTCTGAGCCAAGTTCGGATTTCTCATCCGAGAAGAATATTACGGTGCTGCTAGGGCCCTCTGCTCATTGATTCTTGTTAGGCTCTAGAACTCCAAGATTCTGAGGAAAAAGAAGGCTGTACCGTTTTCTGATTAGATTCTTCTTCTTTGGTTTGAGCCTCCTTTCAGTTGTGTAAGCAACTTGTCTATTAGAAATCTCTCTGCTTTATCTTTTTGTAATGTTAGTAAAGCCTGAGAGTATTAACCTACCTGTGTGTGTATTTATTTATTTATAATTTGTCAGAGGGTGCATGTTCAAGCAAGAAAGAAACGGGTGTCAGGGGGTGGAAAACGTCCCCTACAGGGGATGGTCACACCGCAATTCCTTCTTCTCCATCTCTCTCTTTTTTCATGATTTTGGGCATGCACCTACATGTGCCTGGACCTTTTTTTAAGTTGCTGTGTCTGAGACTCGAACTGAGCAGTTGGCCATGTGGGATCCAGCTACCTTAACCACGATGCCATGGCTGGCTTCCCACCTGCATCTTTTATAGTCTATGAAGCAAAGGAAATAAATGAGAAGGTCTTGCCATTTTAAAAAGTACATCTTAAAACAATTATTTATGTATTACTATTTTTTGCTAGAGGGCATGTGTATGTATACATGCACATGAGAAAATGTGAGAAAAAGAAAAAGAGAGAGAGAAAGTACCCCCGCCCCTCAAACGGGGCCTGGTTGTGCTGCAGTCCTTTTTCTCTCTCCATGAGGCTCCTGGGCATGTGCACATGCGCCCTGCATGCTTCTCAAGCCACTAGGCTGAGATGGAAATCATGCAGACCCTGAGGTATCTAAATTCCTCTGCAAAGGGATTAACTGTGGTGCTATGGGGCAGCCCCGTTTTATTTTACTTTATTTTTAAAATTAAATATTCTTGCACTTTAACTCAACTGATCATTATGATTTTGAGCCCTAGTTACAGAAAACGTTGTATGGGTTTGGTTTCACATAACTAATGGGTGTATAGAGAATGAAGAGAAGTAATTGATGTACCCAGCAGGCTTATTGCCTTGCCAGGCAGTCGTGTCTGAAAGTAAGAAGTAACACAGGGATACTAACTTTGCTATATTTGTCTGGAAATGAAATAAAGTCTCAACTAGAAATACCCGGATTGAACAGATTGAAGGCTGGAGTAATACAATTTTCTCAGTGAATGGAAAGAGAAAATTTGAATTTCAAATAAAAAAATTGAATCTCTTTTTGGAAAAAGGAAATAAAATATGAAGGAAAGTTTATTTCCCCAGTTGATTAAAAAATGTGCAAGTGCAATGTAAAGATGATTTTTGATTCCTTCTATCAATACTAACCTTTTAGAACCATGTCTCTAATGTGTGCAGCTGAATTCTCTGGCCTGCTGCTCAGAGTTTCTGATTTGCTGTTGATTATACTATAATTTGCTTTCAGTTTCATGGGCTACATGTATGCTAAGCATTTATTAATAGTTCATTCTTCAGGGACCAACAGATGGCATAATGGTTATGCTGCTGGACTCCCATGTAGTTGACCGTGGTTCGAGTTCTGAATCCAGAGGCTTAATCCCAAGAGAATGGAGAAGGGATTGTAGTGTGGTCATTCTCCTTGGGGGATGATTTCTTGCTTTTTAGTCTCTCTCTCTCTCTCTGTCTCTCTGGCAAGCACACTTGCCCTATAGCAAAATTTCTCTTAGAAAATTAATAACTTATTCTTTGAAAAACATGTATATAAAAGTGCTATCTACCTGACACTGGGAACTATTTTTCTAATCTACTCAGATCATCATGTGTTCAGCTTGATGACATGGTCGTAGCCACGTGGGTGAGATTTCAAATGCGTATCTTGATGGTAGACCCAGCTCTATGCAACCCAGGTGACAATGCTGATGGTGGAAGGACATTTAAACATTTTTATTTCCTTTCATAAGTCAGGCTGGAAACGGAAATGAAGGTGAGACCACGAGCCCAGAGCTCTTTGTCCTGTGTTATTTTCTTCTTTGTGCATGCTGGCAGTAGTTCATTCTTCAGGGACCAACAGATGGCATAATGGTTATGCTGCTGGACTCCCATGTAGTTGACCGTGGTTCGAGTTCTGAATCCAGAGGCTTAATCCCAAGAGAATGGAGAAGGGATTGTAGTGTGGTCATTCTCCTTGGGGGATGATTTCTTGCTTTTTAGTCTCTCTCTCTCTCTCTGTCTCTCTGGCAAGCACACTTGCCCTATAGCAAAATTTCTCTTAGAAAATTAATAACTTATTCTTTGAAAAACATGTATATAAAAGTGCTATCTACCTGACACTGGGAACTATTTTTCTAATCTACTCAGATCATCATGTGTTCAGCTTGATGACATGGTCGTAGCCACGTGGGTGAGATTTCAAATGCGTATCTTGATGGTAGACCCAGCTCTATGCAACCCAGGTGACAATGCTGATGGTGGAAGGACATTTAAACATTTTTATTTCCTTTCATAAGTCAGGCTGGAAACGGAAATGAAGGTGAGACCACGAGCCCAGAGCTCTTTGTCCTGTGTTATTTTCTTCTTTGTGCATGCTGGCAGAAAACAGCCCAGTCAGATGTTCTCGAAATCTGCCTAAATGGTTTCTTTAGTGACCAATTCACAACCTAGTCATGGATTAGGAATGAAGGGAAGAAATCCAGCCATTACAACATGGAATTTCCTGTCTCTGGTGAGCCCAGTACATGCAGGTCAAGGACAGCTGTTCCTGACACCCCTCAGCCTGTCACGTGACATATAGGCCCATGGCCATCTGTGGAGCGAGCACTAGAAGCCAAGTCATCCTCACTGCCCAACTGGGCATTGCAAATATTCCTAAGCAATGACCCTGACCTTTGTCACTGAAGCTCTGAGGTTGCTCAGGTTTTCCCTCTGTTCTCAGAACAGTCATCTCTCTAGCCTGCTGTTCTTCCAGCCTCAGCCTTTTCTGGCTTGGCAGCTTTGACTCTGGAAATTCCACCAGGCCTAAGGTGAGCATGAGCTCAAGAAGGCTGCAGTCTGGGCACAGCCTTCTCTTCCTTCTGCCCTTCCTTCTGCTCAGGGTCCTGCTGGGTTCCTTGACTACACTCAGCGTTTTGGGAATAGAAAGACCAGACAGACTCTCTTCATGCAGCACAGAGACAGACTCTCTTGTCATGGAGCACAGAGACAATGGTTTACTGGCACAGCATGAGCATGGTGCAGCACAGCTTAGGCTATGCCAGGGCGGTGTGTGTGGGGGTGTGTAGGAGCATGCTGCAGAGTCACTACTGCGCCGGTGTGCATCTGCATACACATTCTGCTGAGGCTTGGTCTGAGAAGGTTTTCTGGAGGAGACATCTGTGCTGAGTCTCCATGGCCCAAAGTCCACCCAGAGTGCACTGGGGAAGAAACAGATGGGTCATGAGCTCCTTAGGGTGCACCAGGGGAGATGCTGCTGAAGAGGTGGGTATCTGGAGTCGGGCTGCCCTGGCTCACCAACTTCAGCTTTATCCTGAAGGATGTGTTAAATTATTATTCTTTTCCCCAAAAGTGAGAGAGAAAGAGCTAAAATAATTTTCTTGTGTTATGACAAAATGATAGGAGCGGAGAGCAGAGAGGAAGATGTTGTTGGAGTGGGAGCCATGATGGAATTTCAGCATGCTGTCCAGTGGCTGTCTGCTGGGTGTGGGGGGCTGGCCCTGCTGCTCCCAAATCCTAAAGGAAGGGGTACAGCTTCTGCCTTATCTTGGAAGTCACTTTCCCCCTCCTCTCTGTCCTTATAGTCTTCTGTTCTATCAGAGGAAGATAAGTGGGTCACACAGTTGATGCTAGAGGATATCAAGGGACAGCCAGAGACAGATCCAAGTGTCAGTCACCCATTGCAGTCGTACAAGTTACGGCTTTGCGAGTCTATATCTCGGGTCAGCAATAGAGGCCTTATTGCTTGCCAGCCTGTGTTCCTACGAGACACCTCAGTTTGGAAATGAATCATTACGACAGCACAGAAGGAAGGAGTTGCCGTGAAATGCTAATGGTAATGTAGCGAGGTTGAAAGAGCAGGATCTTGCGGCATACGGTTCTGCCTTTGACTTCTACCTTTGTTAGTTACCATTTTAGTGACCTTGGGAAAGCCACCTGGTATCTCTGAGCCCCTCTTTACATAACTTCAGAATGGGGACCACAACAACTACCAAAGAGAGTACTTGTGAGGATGAAATTTAAATGAGAGAATACCTGACATACAGCCTGGCCTGAGTTAGTGCTGAATAATCATTTCCTCTTTCAACAAATGCTCACCGAACCTGTTCTAAGGACAAGAGCCAGCCTGTCATGCTCTCCACTGAATACCTGGTCCGCCTCAGTGGGCTGGAACATGGTGGACCCTTAATATTTGTGAATTACTAGTCCCTTTTGGTCGTATTTGATAGCTATTTAGAGCTGTCATATACACCCCACTGGGCGAGAAGATCCTCGAGGGCAATCTCCCTAGCCAATATACCCCTGCTACTCGGCCTAGTTCTTGGCACACGTGGCGTATGCTGAATGCATTGACAGAAATGGAGCAACTCAGGCAGAAGTCAGTCCTTCCAAATGTGCAGAGCTGTAGCTTGAAGCTCCTTGGCAGGCCACTAACTGCTGGGACGTGCCCACATCCAGCAAATCTGCCTGGCAGACAGTGGTCGGGCTAACGTCCCAGATCACCTTCTATTCTTGGAGCTATTAGAGTTGTTTTCTGAGCTTAGAGAGATTTTAAAGAGAGTAGGTCAAATGACCTGCTAATGGCTCAGATGATTCTCAACAAAGTGTGAAAAGTTGTCAGTGACCTGTTA